TTGCGTGGTTGATCTCTAGCTTCATCACAACGTGGTTGGCTCCAGCAATGCGGCAGATGGACAGTCTATGTGCAGGTTCGGGTCCTTTGATTGAAACCGGGTCTTGGTTGGCAAGGACCAAAGCGAAGTCATCAGCAGGGCAGCAGTCCACGATTGCGACATTGGGCTGGGTGCGCGATAAGACAACCTGGTTGAACTGAGCCTCGACGTCGGCACTTTCAACGAAGATGGTCCGTAGAGACGTGTGTCGCTGCACAACCTCGCCCCACGACCGCGCAAGTCGCTCGATGGACACCGACTCCTTGGGATCCCGCGGCCTGAGTTCCGCAATATGGTAGACATCATAAGTGTCATCCTTAGACCGGTGCTGGCTAAGCAACAGGTCCTGCTGCATGGGTGAGCATGGATAAATATCTTCGATTAACGCAGTCTCCGGCCCCGGAATGAGGCCGATCTGAGGCAGTTGTTCGTTGATGATGTTATCCAGGGTGCTGTAGCTGATTGTGCCCAGTAACGGAAAGTCTGATGGAGTGTATTCGACTGGGGCACTGATTAATTTGACCACGAGGGAAGCAAGTGTTTCCTGCGCGGTCGCAATCCACACTCTGACGTGGTTCTCTTGCACAACCTTCTTGTTGAAAGAGAAGGCGAGCTGAATATTGTCATCGATGACTTCCGCCACAACGGAGATGTTGCTGACCAAAGGAGCGGCTCCGGGAGCAGGAAGGAAGACCGGGCGCGGCTTAATCTGCACCAGGCTGCGAGGACCGTCAATCACGTTCGACAAATTGCGGTAGCGAAACGAGATCTCTGGGCTTTCGGTACTGCTTGACTTCATTCTCGTTTTCCGGGCGTCCTTGATTCCCTTCAGCATGCGCACTTGCTCGTCGGTGGTTCTCATATCGGCGGTGTCGAGAACCATTGAACGGAGAGTCTCGAATCGACCAACGGTTTGAGAGAGGTCAATGCCGAAATCTTCAAACGCAAGTCCGCGCTCATCCTCCCACAAAGCAAGCGTAGGCAGGGTCTCGCGGTCGCCAAAGGTTTGGCTGAACGAGAGCATCAGACTTGCCATCATCAAGTCGACAACGTCAGTCCGCAGTGGTCTGTGTACTTCGTCGCTCAAGAGCATTGTGGCTGTTTCATGGTCAAGCTCCACTGCCTTGTAGTCCATGTCAACTTCTGTGGCTGCCAAAATTCGTGGCGCGACTGCCATCTCGACGCCCGATGACTCTCTCTCAAGATTGACCCAGTTCTGGAAAGAGACTGGCTCCTCGGCTTCCTCGTCCAACATGGGCCCATCTGGGAGACTTAAGCAGGTCTGAAGCTGTCGGATGATGATGTTCCAGGAGACAGCGTCGATCACAGCACTGTGGGCTCTCAGGACCAACAGTTGCTTTTCTTTTCCTGAAACCAGACCAGCGGAGAATATGGGTCCCGAGAGTGACACTGCATCGGCTGAGGCTGCGATGGTGGTGATATCTTCAGGGCGTTCTATGCGGTGATGCTGGAAGCGGTAGGAACCCTCTATCTCAGAGGCGATAGTTTGTTTGAGGGACACAGCGCCGTCCTCCACAATCTCAGCAAAGCGCGCGCGCAACATGGGGTGGCGGGTGACAATAGCACCCAGGGCAGCCTTGACGCGAGCAGCCGAAACACTACCATCCAATTTCAAGAGAATGCTCTGGGTGAGGTGGTTTGCCGCCCTCCCGTCACCCAGACAGAATTGCTGAGCCTGGGAAAGTGGAAACGAGGCATCCAAACCGTTTGACTTTGGTTTCAAACCAGAGGACTTCTCCAGACGGTCAGCCAGGTCTCTGATGCCTTTGCTCTTCATCATGTCCTGGACTGTAACATTAAAGCCGGCACGCTTGCATTGCGAAATCACACGCATGGCAGCGAGACTGTCGCCACCAAGCGCGATGAAACCCTTGTCCAGCGGCAGACTGTGAGCGGGAGTGTTCAGGGCACCAGCGAAAATGTCGCGAAGGGCTCGCTCGACCTCTGACAGGTCCAAGTCGGCCTCCTCATCCAAGGAGCGATTTTCTGACGAATCAGCACTGAGGAATCCTAGAAGGCGATTGTACAGGCTCTCATCCATATCCAACAACCAGTTGAAGACCCGCTTGCGATCAAGCTTGGCGGACACCAACAGCGGCCATGCCTCAACCACGATCCATACGGCGGGAACCATGTATTCCGGCACACAGCCGCGCAGGTGGTTCCGGACTGCATCGGTCTGGTCCTTGACATCTGCTCTCTCATCTTCGAATAGCACATCGATGGACGCATTGGAGGTGCCAGATTTGGAGTCCTGAGCGAAGTCTTTCAAGCATACAACGGCGACAATTTTCTCCTTGCAGCGCCCAGCCTTGGGGAGGAAGGCCGCAGCATGTTTGATGTGAGGGTGGAGAGCGATGTTGTGCTCAATTTCACCCAACTCCACGCGTAGACCACGTAGTTTAACTTGAGTATCTTTGCGACCCAGGATCTGGATGGTGCCGTCAAGGTTAAATCGGGCCAAGTCGCCAGTCTTGTAAAAGCGCATGGATGCGCTTTCACTCGACACGGTCGCATTCGATGGTGTCAGCGACCAGCCTTCGGTCCAGGTCGGGTTCTCAATGAAAGAGGCGGCCGTCTTTTCCGCATCATTCAAGTATCCACGAGCGAGAATGGGACCGGAGATCAAGAGTTCGCCGACGGCGCCTAGTGGAACGAGCCGGTCGTGGTTCTCGGCATCCACAATCCAGCAAAGACCTCCAACGGCGCGGCCAATATTTGATGGGTCGCTGTTTGGTTTTAAATGTGGATCGCCCGCAGCGGCAACGGAACATTCGGACGGACCGTACCCGTTAATAAGTTGCAGGTGTGGTGCCCATGTCTCGATGTCGACTTTGCTGAGTGGCTCACCACCAAGGGCGAGGGTTTTTAGCTTGGGGACCATCCCGGGTCGCAGTAGCTTGACCAGCGACGGCGTAAGGAAGGACCACGTGATGTCAAATTTGTCGAAGATGGGCTGGAGACCCTGGGCCATGCTGGCCATGTCTGGGGTGCATACACATGCACCCGACATAAGCGAAGTCATGATCTCCAGCATGCTCACATCGAAACTGTACGAGGCGAGCTGCAAGACTCGACTCCCGCGAGAGAGGTTGGATAGAGAGGCGTGTACGAGGGCACCCGAGATGAATGCCTTGTGCGGGATGAGACAGCCTTTCGGCTTTCCTGTGCTTCCTGAAGTAAAGATGAGGTAGAGGAGATTGTTAGGGGTAACGCCGGACTCGAGGATCTGGTCCTCGACGGGCAGGGAGGCAGCGAATTGTTCGTCAATGACGATAGCTCGCACGCCCATTTCCTTTTCCCACGTCTCGGCCTGGCTCTTGGAGCTCAGCACCCACTTACCTTCGATTTGTTCCATGATATCTTGCCTGCGGCTGACTGGGTTAGCTGGGTCAATAAACACAATAGCACCCCCTGCTTTGATTACACCCAAGAGGGCCGCAATGGCCCAGCGGCTCTTCTCAAAGCACAGGGGGACAATAGATTCCGGTCGGATTCCCTCTTCCTGGGCTAGCCAGACTGCGATGCGATCGGAAATAGCGTCCAGCTCGCCATACGTGAAGCGGCCGTCCCAGGCGTCCACGGCGAGCATGTCCGGCTCCTCCTGCGCACGCTGACGGAAGAGGAGATGGACGCATGATTCGACCGTCTCCGGCAGCTGGACGCTATTCCAGGTCCAAAGCTTTGCCTTGTCGCAGTCACTGACTAAGTCGATGGCGTCTAGGCGGTCGTGACGCCGGTCGGGGTTGTTGATCAAATTAAGAACGTGTGCAAAAGCAGCCGCGAGGTGATCGGCTCGTTCTTGGTCGATTGCAGTTGGTGCAAAACGCACCACGAATTCGAGCTTGCCGAATGGCAGGGGGATAGCCACGAGCTCAATTAGCGCGCCCGTAGCGTCAAGATGGCTGGGAGAGGAGGAGTTGAGGTAGGTCTTGTTGGAGGTGAGGGTCGTGATGGATTGTAGGAATGGCGAGGTAGCGGTTTCATTTCGTGAAGGAACCAAAGGGACCTCGTCGGAGGCCAGCTCCTTTGTCGCTTGGTGTGTTTGTTGGATGAAGTCGGAAATTGTGGTTGCGCCGTCGAGCTGTGCGTTGCAGATTTGGTAGGTGGATTCAAGGTCGTCGGCCTCTCCCGACGTAGTGGCAGTGATGAAGCGAGTGTCTTCCTGCCCCGTATACTGCCCTATCACGATGCTCCAGGCAGCATTGATCAGAGCAGCAATTTCAGTATCGGGGTTCTCGCGATGGGAGACGCCGACGTTCTCGACAAGGATAGTAGAAGTGGCGTGAGTATACATCGTGATAGAAAGTGGAGGTCTAAAGCGTTAGGGCAAAAAGCGGTCGGTCGATTAACGATAGTAGGATTCAGGCAGCAACAGTTTGGCAGCGTTTTACGGAAAGGTGAATGTAGAATTCTAAAGTTAGGATACCTGAAGCTACTCCGCCTCTGGGTTATATCGTAGCCTAGGGCTGTATACTCGACTACGGCGGTATTCACACCACGTGGGGCTTAGCAGTAAGGCTTATTATGATTGTTTAATCAGGTTAGCCTACGGCCCCTGCAGTGAAGGGCATGAGGCTGTGGTTTACTATTTGTTATGAATTTTGATGCCTATTTTAGAAATTCGATGCCTGTTTTCTTTGTTGGGGTTTAGACGCCCAAGAGTGGCTGTGGTAACATATCCCTGTCGCAGGATTTGCTTACTATACAGTTTCAGCCTATATAGTAAGCAGTTTCGGCCCCAACATCAGATCAACCTCTCACACTGTTCTCAGCATCCTCTGTCCACTGTTTCTTACTCTCAATTCTTACTTCTTACTTCTCTTAAGCTTATCTGGTTGTCTTTTAGCTCGCTTTTCTTCCTTCCTGGTGTCTTTTTCCCCAATCTCCACAACGAATTTTCTTTTCCCTTCTCATATCCACATACCCCATCACTCACCATGACTAACTGCACCACCGATTGGAGCAACGTCACGCTCGCTACTTTCAACCAGACTCTACTCAATGATACCTCATTGTGTACGAAGTGCACCTGCCCTCTCGTCCTGGACGGCGAGCAGCTGTCATGGGTGCGATACTACCCGAATCTGGCGGGCAACGTCCTCTACGCAGCTCTCTTCGGCCTGTTCCTCGTGCTGCAGCTTTTCTTTGGCATTCAGCGCAAGACGCGTGGATACATGATCGGCATGACCCTTGGATTGATTCTTGAAGTCTTGGGCTATGTCGGACGCATTCTTCTCCGCTACTCGATGTTCGAATTCTCGTGGTTCTTGATGTGAGTTTTCCTCCAGAATTAACAACTCTAGACACGAAGTCTAATAATTATGGCAGGTACCTCGTTCCCCTCACCATCGCCCCGGCTTTTATCTCCGCCGCTATTTATTTGACTCTGTCGCGGATCATCACAATCTACGGTGCTGAGCACGCCCGCTTCCGCCCGCAGGTCTACACCTACATCTTCATCACGTTCGACATCATCGCCCTGCTGCTGCAAGCCGTGGGTGGTGCCGTCGCCTCCATCGCCGACGCCTACTCGTCCATGCAGGATCAGGGCGTGCACGTCATGGTCGGTGGCCTTGCGTGGCAGGTGGTGTCTCTGTTCATCTTCTCGTGCCTGGCTCTGGATTTCTATCTACGTGTGAACCGTGCTAGCCGCAAAGGAGTCCCGCTCAACCCGGCGTTTGACTCTCTCCGCGCCCAGCGGTCCTTCGAGCCCTGGTTCATTGTCTCCCTGTCTCTGGCCGTCCTGTTCATCTTTGTGCGGAGTGTGTTCCGGTGTGCTGAGCTACAGGGTGGATTTGGCGGCGAGTTGGCCAATGAGGAGATCACATTCATGGTGCTGGAGGGAGCGATGATGGTGCTCGCTTGCGGGTTGTTGACATTCTTCCATCCCGGATTGATTTTGGGGGCTAGGGAGTGGGCGTTGGCTAAGTGGAGTCGCGGCGGTAAGGGGGCTTAGATTAGATTATTTTCTTTGGATGCGGCTGAAGGCTGGGGATTGGGTGGGGGATGTGACCGGGCGTGATGTGATGAGGTGGTTACGTGGAAGAGTTTGTTTGCTTCCTTGCGTTCTTGCTTACGGGTATTAGGCTTAGGCTTGGCTGGGCTTGGCTTGGGTTTGGGTTAATCATTTTGGTTTTGTTTATCAGCCTTGCAGGTTGTTTGTGGGAAGGGGATGAGTGAATGACAGCTCAGAACCGAGTGTCATGTAAGGGCTAGACCCGCTCATCGGAAGAGATACCTTTTTTATTTTGTTGTATTCACTATTAGACCGGGCTTACCATGGAAAATGCGTTTGATACATGTTCTAATAATCAGCTAAATGGAACAAAAATCTTCCAACATGATTAACATGTCTTGAACCGAGCTTCTCGGGGGAAATAAGTGACGATCAGTAGAAAATTCCGTGGAATCAAAGTCTTACCTAAGAGGAGTCGGGGAACGGAATCTCCTGTCAGCAATCTGACACCCACTAATGCACGGTCCAAGCTACTCCGGGCATAGAGGACGTCGATCATCGCACGTATACGAAGTATGGATCCAGTTGTTGGTTGCCAGTTGATCTAAATTCCAAGGCATCATTCCCCTAGCGGAGGCTCGAGCTGTCGCTGAGGCTCTTTTCCAACAAATGTTCCCAACATGCTACGCCACGACACCTTCGCCCTCCAAGCGAACACCTAAATTTGATTGTCTTCCGTGCTGTGGGGGAAATTGGGAATACGAATGCTAAGACGGCCCCCATGTTACAACCAGCAAATCCCCGCGTGGAACGGGTGATTTCCATATTAAACGGATGCTAACGTATGTGCGGGTGATGCCGTTGGCCCGTAAAATTTTGGGGGTGGTAAGGCTGACCGTCGGGTATTGATTGACTCTGAGGCTGAGGCACTCCTTTGTTCCGCCCGGAGTGAACCTGACTCGTTGGCTTGGTTTTGGGGAATGTTGATCAATGTACGGAGTAACGTGGTCAACGCATTTTGTTTTGTAATTGAGATGCGGATAATTATTATTGTTCTTTCGAATGTCAAGAATCATGTTATTTGCTTAGATGAATTGACTTCTTCGAAGTTAACTAGTAGTGCTGCTTTTCGGGGGGTGTGATGAGGTGGTTGTTAGGGCTCGTCGGAAAATATATATCATCATGAATCAAGTTGAATCACTAAGTCATCACAGATTGCTTTAACATTATTAGTACCCAGCACAACGACAACACGAAGCTTCGGCTTAATTCTAGACTCGAAAAGGACAATCTTACGAGTCTAAAGAGCTTGCTAGTTTTTATTATGACTATTGGTTAAGCAAACCGACTTTGCTGTGGGAAGAGTGAGATAATCTCAAGGTCCGTGCACTTGCAGTCGCTAGGCGGTGTAACTTATCAGTCGTGTACTATTATTAGTCTATCTTGGAAGTGACAAGTAACCGCCAATCAGAAAAAACTTCATTGTTGGAAACCAGGCCAGCCGTAGTTGGGTATTTGTAGTCTAATCAATCAGATCTGCCGCTAGAAATCAAACCGGGAGGACGCCTTCGCCAATGGACCCCACCATGATACCAAGACAAGCCATATGGACAAAGAACTCTAAAAAAACAGAAAGGAAAAAGGAAATATTAACACATCGCATGACAGCGATCAGTGGGTATCTTGGCGGTCGGTTCCTGTCACAAACCAGAAATTCCGCCCCTTCTTGGTGTAACTAACCAAGCCCCTCTGCAATAAGTGCTTCGGGTTTTGTGCGTTTCGTTCGGATTTTGTCCGATGCGGCCACGTGGATATGTCACAATCCCGCGTCCGCACCGTGTTCAATGAGCAGTTTCATCATGTCTGTGCGCCCCGTAATAACAGCTCGTTGGAGTGGTGTGTAGCCCGCCCGATCTCGGACATTCACCGATATGGGATATGTCATTAGCAACAATTGGAGAGTGTCAATTGTGCCGCGTGAGATGGCAATATGAATTAAGGGCTCGTCGGCCTCTGGATCACGGCTGGACAGGGAACAGCCCGAGGCGATTCGCCGTTGCGTGTCGGACATGTTGCTTGGCATTGAGCGGAGCATAGGGTCGACGTTGGGCGGCGATGGGGGCGGGAAAGGATAGTAGACATCGGACTCCAGCCATCGCATCGCGTTCTGGGCGCTCGCTGTCGAGGCCATTGTCGAAGGCGATGCAGAGGTCGGCATGCTTGTGACAGTCGCTGTAATGTCTTTGGTTTTATCGAAGCAGTTGGTGAAGTCGTGGTCCAGGTCCGTCGGCCAGCTCAGTCCATCGCCCAGCATCTCCTGGTCTGGGGACGGGAAATATGTACTCGGGGGATCGCGGGGACCAGGAGAGACGCTGCTAGTACTGACTTGAGACGAGGCTCGCGTGGGACGGTCGTCCCCGTCGCTGGTACTGGCGCTCGCGCTGATGCTGCCGCTATTGCTATCGTTGGGGGTGCTGCTGTTGCTGTTCATGGCTTCTTGAAGGTTTTTGACTTGGCTTTTGAGGAGCTCGACCTCTTTTGTACGGTCGCGCATGTTTCGGCCTGGTAGACAGCGTTAGCTATGCTCTTCGTGAGCAGCGAGTAGGGGATGTACTCACGGTATGCCCGTTGTGCTAGACGGTTCTGAATCCTCCTCCGCTCAGCGGCATCAGGGAGATCCTCCCAGCTTTCGCCTGGTTTCATCAAGTCGGTGTATGAATTATGCTTGGGACGTCCAGATGGTCGTCGAGTGTCAACGACCACGGGCAAAGTAGTTCCGTTTGACCCTACCAGAGGGTTCTGCTGTTGTTGCTGTATTTGATTCATTTTTTTCCCTCCCTAGTTATCTATCCAGACCTGATATAGACGAAAGAATTGGATGTAGATATACATGATGAAGAGATACAAATAGGAGGTACCCGGTCCACTTTTAAACTTTGCTCTGCCCCGGATCTCAGACCACATGGCGATTTTCGAAACTGGCCAAGACGGGCGGCGGCATGGCACGCCTCAAGTCATCATGGCAAGGCTGGCTTGTGGTTGGGGGCTTCAAACTTGAAGAGACCCGCTATGAAATGAGCCCTACATTGATCTCACTCTCACACGCTTGGGTGCGAGACCAACTGTCGTGTCACAGCCCCCTCCCTAATTTTACCATCTTTCATTACGGTACCGACCGTTCCCCGGCTTTCTTCTACTCACAACCCATTGCACGGACCCCGTAATACGACCATAAATCTGACACGAAGAAAAGTATGGATTGCGGTAGAAGGACCAAAGCAACTTGGGATCTTCGTCAGCCATGCACCATGGCACTTCGAAACAAGTCTTAGTACAAAGTTTGCAACACTAATATAGGATTGATGCGATCTAAGCCATGATCTGGGTTGTTTCAGGATAGGTTTTCGCCCCAAGAACCTGGTTAACCTTTGGGTGGGATGGAACATGTCAGTGACATTTTGGGGCCATGGCAGATTTTACTACTAGGATTACTACTCACATGAGGGCTTTTGCTCATGCATCATACAGACACCCTATGATGATGGGTTTCATTTCTCGTCTGTTGTTAGTATTACTATTACTATAGCTCCTGCTGCTTCAGCTATTATTGTTCTTGTTGGTGAAGAACCTTCTTTGCATATCATGTCAGATCTCCCACCCACGTGGTTCCTCTCGTCGCAAGCTTGTCTGGATCAGACAACGTGGCTGTGGAATACGGGGGTCGTATTACGTCTTTGATGAATTTGCTTCAGCTGGAAAGGACTGTCTGTACGTAAAGTTGGATGGCAGAGCAATTTGGGGGCCATGGAGACGATTGATGGGCAGTTGTGGTGGTTGGTGCTTCAGCTGGGGATCAGACCGCGAAGGATGCGTGATGGTTGACTTGCTGTACCGACATATTCATCTCTAGAGCTCTACAATGACAACTTGGTTTCAATTGCGACTACCAGTATCACGGGAGGCGAATAGAATATCCGTTGTAACACCGAACCGAAGCTTAGCTTCACTCGCATATTTTCCTGCAAACTATCTATGAAACAAGTAGCAAAAGCAATAGCACCATGATGTCTCGAACTGCTGCACCCCGCATCTAAATTTCTCCGTGTTCCCAAACAAGCAGAATGTGCTCCTTTTCCACGTAACCCATAGCCACGGGTGCCATGTGGTTACAACATGCATTCTCCGATGAACTCCATCGCAGACCCAATCATCTCCTTCACACGGTCTGCAGGCCAGACCTCTTCATCCTTCGGCTGGATTCTAGCGTCGATGCTCCTGCAGTTCTTACCCCCCTCTCCCACCAGCGAATCCCCCTCTTTCTCCTCAACACTACTAACAGACCTATCCCCATCATTTTGAGTAATGCAATTATCATCATCGTCAACCAACAATCCCGCCCGCTTAAAGACCTCCACAGGAGGCACAGTAACCTTCCCAGCCTTGACCACATACCTACTAACCAGCACAGCCAACACCCCCTTGCGGATATTCCAATCCGTCAACACGGCCGTGGGTCCTCCATCAAGGTCCACCTCCCTCATTCCCCTATACACTTCCCTCCTCAAAAAATACGTAACCGTCCACAACGACCGCTGATCCCACGCCAGGATCCGAGTAGTCACGCAATAGCGTTGAAAGGGGCGAATTTCACGCAGGAACCGCGCCTGCACTGCAGCTAGCATGGGCATGCCGCCGAGCGACGCCAAGGCCGGCCCAAGGAGGCGACTGAGGAGGCGGGCGCGGCTGAGATCCGCATCTGTGAAGAAAGTGCTGTTGCTTTTGTGTAGGTTCAGGTCGATTTCCGGCAGGGGGCAGTGGGTTTGGCTTGTGTGGGGGCGGAAGAGGCTGGGTAGGGCTGGATAGAAGAGATTTGGAGTGTTGATTGGGTGCGGGGATACGAGCTCTTTGGGGCGTTGAGCGTTGCGGGGTTGCAGGATTCGGTAAAGGGAGGGGAGTAGTTGGAAGGAGTAGACGAGTGGGAGGGATTTAGCATTGAAGAAGAGGATCAGGATGAGGATTGAGAATAGGAGGAGAAGCATTGTGATTGCGTATGGATGCTCGTGTTGATGGGGTTGCAATCGGACGGGATGATATGAGGTAAAATGATGTGGTCTGTTGAATGGATGAGAGACTGAGTTTGGAAGGATGATTATGTAGTTTGGACTAGTTATAATGTGTTAATGCTAAGAGGTTAATTACTTGAGTGATTACTACGCTGGTGGTAGTCAGCTGCGTGGTAGGCTTTCTTGGGGCCAATTCGGGTGTTTACTGGATGCGGAGGAGTAAGAATTAAGAAGTAGGAAGTGGTCTGAGATTAAGGATGCTAATTTTGGTTCATAATTTGCGGGTAGTGATAGAAAATGAAACAGTAAACGACCAACACAACCCAACACTCGCTCTTTCGGAGAGAAAACCATGTGGTTGGCATTCTCTGATCATGTCGATCCCACGTGGAGACGTTTTGGGTCGATGTTGGTGTTTCATCGTCTACCCGTTCGGTAAATCCTAAACATTTTTACTGTCGATCTCTGTACCCAAGCCTTGTTTAAGCAACATTGTAGTGTTCGTGATTAAATTTACGTATTCCTTACTAACTGTGTCTATGTCAAACTCTCAAGTATCCGGTACACTCAAAACCCCGTGACCTCAAAACACCAATCATCATTGTCTGGTGCCTGTCCCTTCTGTATCGCTCGCATGCTGCGAGCGAGATCAAGCAACTTCCCATCTCCAGTCGCTTGGAAAACATACTTTTCGCCCGATGACAACCGATCGATGGAAGCAATGGGCACCGCGGCGGCGGCAGTTCCAACGGCAATGACTTCATCTAACTCCCCTAGCGAGGAGAACGGGAGCTGAAGTGAGATCTGTCAGCCCGCCCGATCGCCAGGAATAAACCAAACTGGAGACAAACACGAGGATAACACTTACAGGTGCTTTATCCACCTTCCAGCCCTTGTTCTTGGCAAGGACCTGAAGACTTGAGCCGGTGACGCTCTCGATCGCATTCTCCGACTCCGGCACGACCAGCACATCCTGGCCGTCCACGATCTTATGGCCCAAGAACCCACTCGTGGCAAATTCCTCCACGAGGGAATGGGTCTCACTGTCGAGATGCAGCGTGATATGATAACCCATCTTCTGCGCCTTCCCCGCGTGGCGCCATACGGGGGCGTAATTCCCTCCGACCTTAAACCGACCCATTCCTCGTGGCGCCGCCCGATCAAATTCCTCGCATACCAAGCCCTTGATCCCCTGCATTCCGTGGTATGCCCGCGCCGGGTGGCAGTACACCGCAAAGATGGTCTCCTCACATGGACCTAAGGGTAAGCCATCCGACGCCCCGAACAGGACTGGTCGGATGTACAGGAATCCCTCGGCGTCGAGTGGGGGTACATACTCCGCGTTGGCAGCCACCGCGAGGCGGATGCACTCGAGGAAGAGATGCTCTGGGACCGGAGGCAGACAGACGGCGTCAGCAGAGCGGGCCATGCGCGCGGCGTGGAAGGTGGGTCGAAAGACGGCAATGGTTTCTTCTGCTTCCTGGGAGCCTTGACGGTGGCGGCGGCGGCGCATTGCCTTCAACCCCTCGTAACATTGTTGGCCGTAGTTAAGGCCCGGGCAGAGACCAGAGATGGAGATCTGGTTTCCTGTCACGAGAGACGGGGAGGTCCAGGATTGGGTGGATTGATGGAAGCGGAGCTCGACGTGGCCGTTGACGGGAAGATGTTTGGTCATGTCCAGCTTTGCCCAGTCTGAGTTTGTTATTAGTCCGGGGAATCAATTGCGTACAGGGTGGCTGTGGTTGGAGGAGGGGACTGTGGGGGATTCTTAGTGCTCACCAAGGCCCGCTTTGGGCGCGGGAGGGTATGGCGAAAGTGATCCCATGGTGTTTGGTTGGGTGTGGTATTCGGGAAGGGGGGTGAGATTGATGAAGTTAATCTGGATGAACGATGACGATATTTGATCCTGCTTCCATCCTTTTATTTCCTTTTATATCTAAGATCTTTTGAGGACGTCTTAGTCGGGTCCAAGTCATCAAGTCTGGGGAATTTACTGGGTCGATGCTCATTGCCGTGCGTAGTAAGCAAAAAACTAGTAAAGCTGCCGTGGTTGTGGGCACGGCATTGAGATCCTTCGTCGAGGCTGTTTAGGTGAATGTGATGAGTCTAGTAAGCTAATATTAGTCTGGTTGCAGAAATGTCACCTCGTGTTCTGGAATTAGTGGATAAACCTCCGCGATCCTTCTAAGCAAACGATTTAATCATAACACTGCCCCCATGACCTTTGGGTAGTAACCACACAATAAACTGACTAAGAGCTAGCACTTCTAGTAACTGGTTTGGAGGATTAATCTCATCAAACTGTTATTATTAGCGTTGTGTTTCAAGTTGCAGTGTTCCAGAACAGTCAGCACATGATTCTAGGGCATTACCGTAGACGGTTAGTGTCACCGCCGCCCATCTATCTTACGCTTATTTCTTACTATTCAACCATCACCACGTTTTTGACATGGTTTATCCCCCGGTAAATGTTGCTTACTACGCACTAAATTCACTGCATAGTAAGTTGAACCCTTCCAGAACGTCACGCGATGGATCCAGTACGTAGGCATCCACCCACAGCCTCTGTGACAAGCAAGCAAATTGCCGATCAAACATAGCTAGATCATGTAGGAAAAGACCTATCTCTCTCCACTTTATGCACATAGAATTTTCTACAGGGGTAGCTCAACACCATGGGCGCTCAAGAATCCAAATGTCCGGTCGACGTCGAGACGGGGTTTGGCCCCGCCGCCGACTGCTATGATGGTTTCGACTTCACTTTGCTGTTCGAAGAGTCTATACTCACTCTTGTGCCTGCGGGCATCACATTATTCCTGTTACCTTTATTTCTGTTGGGATTGAAGAATGAAGAGAGAAAGGTGGTGGAATCGTGGCATCATGTGGCTAAACTGGTATGAGATCTGCCCCCTTGACGATAACGCAAGGCAACAGGACTAACCTTATACAAAATGGATTCAGGCTGGCTGGTTTGCCATATCGACAGTTACGCTTGTGCTGCTAGCCCTAACCGCCAGCAATGGCCCAACGACACGGACATCAATCGCAGCTAATGTTGTTGTCCTGCTCCTTGAAATCGGACTCACCTTTCTCTCGCACTGGCAACATGTTCGCAGCGTGCGTCCATCAGGACTGCTGGTACAGTACCTGGCTCTGACGTTAATATTCGACGCCGCGCGCTGTCGTACTCTCTGGGGGGTACAGTCGGGCGAAAAGGTGGCCATTGTGCTGAGCATCGCCGTCGGTGTCAAAGCCGTCCTGTTCGGCCTGGAGGCGGCCGAAAAGCGCGGCATCTTGCTAGAGAAGTTCAAGTTTCTGCCTTTTGAAGCCACCGCCGGCGAGTTGAATCTGTGGTTCTCGTGGTGGTTGAATCCAATCTTCTTCCGGGGATTCAAGAAGCAGTTGTCGATGGACACTTTGTTTGATGTCGATCCTAGCTTGAAGGCAAATGACAAAGAAGATGGGGATACTTTGGCGGAAATGTGGAAGTATTGTGAGTTTTGCCTTTGTTCATCCATCCACACACTGGAACAAATCTGACCACTTTCTAGGGAAATCCAAACTCCGCAATCCTCCCCTACTGCTGATTTGTCTCGTGCATGCCCGAGTGCCACTGTTGAAGACCATCCTCCCACGTCTCGCCCAGATTGCCTTCACCGTAGCGCAACCGTTTATCCTACAACGCACGCTAAGTTACATTGAAAACGACGGGTACGAGAACCGCTCATCGGTCGGCACAGGGCTTATTGTGGTCTATGTGATCGTCTACATTGGCATCGCGGTGACGACTGCCCTAGCGCAGCACTGGACCTTCCGCATGATCACACGAATGCGCGCGGGGCTAGTCGACTTGATCTACCGACACACGCTGGAGATGATTCCCACGGCACTCGATGGCGCCGATGCAGTGACGCTAATGAGTACCGACGTGGAGCGCATCACCAGCGGCCTTCGCACGTTTCCGGAGCTCTGGGCCAACCTCATCCAGATGGGCATTGCCATCTGGCTTCTGGCCGGCATGCTCGATCTCGCCGTCCTCGGTGCCTCCGCCGTTGCCGTTGTCTCCACTGGCTTGGCCATCTGGGTCGCCACTGGTGCAGGTATCGCCCAGAAGGCCTGGCTGGACCAGATCCAGTCGCGCGTCGCCGCGACAGCCAGTATGCTTGGTGTGATGAAGGCAGTCAAGATGACGGGGCTGACGCAGCCGCTGGGCGACAAGATCCGGCAGCTGCGCGAGGAGGAAGTCAAAGCGTCGTCTACGTTCCGGTTGATCTTGGTGAAGCTCGTCACTCTGTCCAATGTCTCCGAAGCCATGAACCCGGTCGCCGCGTTTGGTTTGTATATCCTCTTACAGCGGTTCCAAGGCTATGCGGTTATGAGTACATCGCTGGTGTTGACTTCCTTGGTGCTCCTGCAGTTGTTGCTCGTGCCGCTGGCAATGCTCATTGACAGTCTTGCCGGGTTTGTGGGAGCACTGGGTTGCTTTCGCCGCATTCAGGACTATCTGGGACAGGAGACCAAGGTCGACGGGGAGAAAGCTCGCGCTGCTACAGGCGGATCGAGTAGTAGTAGTGAGGTGGAGAGTCTTGCACGTCGGGAGAGACGGCGGACGATTCCTAGCTTGGTCTTGCCGACTATTGAGGTCGCCGAGTTTCGGTTTAGTTGGCTTTTAGCCGATTATTCTGGGGAACAGGGGCGAGCGTCCAGGTTCTTGGGAGAAGAAAGAGGAGGAATTGGTGGAGGTAATGGGCCGGGCAATGCGGGCCGTGTCGTCTCAGGTGTTGGTTCCATGAGATCCGCACGGAGTCGCCGACGCACGCGACGCATCATCCCCGAGCCGGTAATTGAGTTTAAGAAGGTCTCAGCCGGGTGGAAGGATGGGATGGTCGTGCTCCGGGACATGTCGTTCAAAGTGCCCCGGGGTCAACTAACGATGGTCGTTGGGTCCGTGGGCTCTGGTAAATCGACGCTGTTGT